ACAACCTCAAACGAACTCGTAACTCGGATCCGAAGCCGCAGCTTAATCCATGACCCGATTGCGATTTCGGGTCTCATCGGAACCGGTTTAGTGGCTGCCGGGTTCGTCGCGGCGGGACCAGATACTACTGCTATGGCGGCGGTGGATTTTCCGGTGATGGGTTCTCTTCAGCTAAGCGAACCTGCTAATGCTTTGTCTTTGCCCACTTGGGCTGTTCATGTTTCCAGCGTTGTCGAATGGTTTCTTCTCTCTCGCTTCTTCATTGCTCTATTGATTGAAATTCTCATTTGATCTATATCAAACCATAATAGTGGTCTCAAAGATGGGAACTTTTGCATAATGAAATTGATTTTGTGATTAGCTTGTGGATAAACGTATTTTAAATCTTGTGTTTGATTGAGAAAGACTTTGAGCTTAAATTCAGTTGGAGCAAACATACAAGAGTGCTAATTTTTGTTGATGTTTGTGTGTGTTTTGCTATACTCAATACTTGTTGTTTACTGTTCTGAAGGATTACGGCGATGGCATTGGTATGGAAATATGGAGAAAGAAAAGGTTATGAATCTTGGAAAGGTCTCTCATGGGGAATGGTGAGAGTTCTAAACCTGTTTTCAAGCTTATACATGATTTCATTTTCGAGCTTTATTTTTCGGGTGAAGAATATGATTGTTGCTCTTATTTAGGTACCTTTACTTGGTGGAGCTCTCTGTGCATGCACATGGCATTTCTTTTACAATGATGAATCTCTTGAGGTAAAGAAATTTGCTTTTTGTTTCACTGAAGAAATGAATTAGGCTAAACTCTTGCTCAACTCTGATAGAGTTTTTTTTGCTTCGTCTCGTGTATTCGGTACTAGAAATTACTTTAGAATGATGGTGTTGTAATGGTTGTGCTGCATTATTAGGTGTTGGTGGCGCTTCAGGCAGCACTAACTGTGATTGGTAATATTACTATGTGCATCGCGGCCTTTCGAATCAACAAATTGTCATCGAAAATGAAAGTCTCTGAAAAGCCGTGAGGGCTAACGAATCTTTGTGATAGAATGAACATAGATGGGCATCTGTTTTCTCATTTCTACAAACAGGTAAAGCCTGACTTTTGCTTGATATGGAACAAGTTATTATGAGACCGGAGAATTCATGTAATATTTATGAATTCCGTACTATTTGCCCATTGCAGGAGAATTTGAATGTAACCTTGTTGGAGATTCTTGGTGGTAAAGATAAGCAACTGGATCTTAAGAGAAAGGTCAATGTGGTATTAGTGAAAAGATATTTGCTTAATCATGATTCTTGAGCATGTAAATAAGCATATATATATTGTTATTTCTTGAGTTGGACCAAAGCATAATCTATTATGTTAGATTATTTTCTTCTACAAACTTTGTACTAGTTTTTGGATGATCACAATTCACAAAGTTGGGAGAATATAAAAGGTTACGTTTTTTTTTTGCGTCAACTTTTTTTTATTATATAAGCCTATTGGGCCAGAAACAAAAAAATTTGGAGAATGATTACAAAGTAAAGTCCAATACACAAGCCCATACAGTGAACCACCGACACACTTTTCCGATGGCCGGAATTCCAGATCCAGTGCATGCGACTTAATGCGTAGAAGATAGCCATCTTCTCCAAATCTCATGTAGAAACTCCGATTTCATCTGATGTCTGAGTAGAGGGTAGAAATCTCACCAAACTTCACGATTGAACTCCTCCGATCCATCTAACCACCATGACCACACCTCAACAACCAACCGTGATCGCCTAAAGAGGAACCAGGGGAAGATATCTCTCCCCGCCATAGAGAAGATGAATCTAAAAATCCTCTATATATTAATAGAGGAGGCACTAGGTGGAAAATTATATGTGTCATCTAAAGAGGGTTTTAAGGAACTCGTAATAAAGACTATTAAAAATTCTTAATGATGAATATATGAAAACAACAAATATGTGGTAATTAATATGGAAACTTTTATTTAAAGAATATAGAAAATATTTGAGGATATCTTATTTTCTTTTCAATAACTATTAGATTTTTTTACCCGAGTCAAACGCAAGAT